TATCATTTTATAAAGGATTGACGACCATAAATGATTTTATGTACTTTGGTGGCCTCGTCTAGTGAGATAGAAATATATAAAAGTAATGTTTAGATTTGCTCGAATTCCTAATGTTAAATTGACCGATTCAAATTCTTCATAGAAATGCATATATTCATGCTGAGAAAAAAAACGACATAGACAAATTGAATATCCTGGAAAGAAATACAATGTAATGATCGATTAATAAGAAAAAATACGATCAGGTTTATGATGAAAGCTTTTCGTTTATTTTAGTAACAATGTCTTTTGGTGGTAAGTCGTAAGAACAGTAATCAATCATCATTCAATGAATATTAACGTATGCATATATATATATATTATTTCACTTACATTTTCCCTTGTGTATCTTTCTTTTTCTCGTTTACTATTCAATGATTATTCTCTTAGAAGAATAATATAAGTATAATACATACCTGCTTAACACAAAGATGTCAGTTTATTTGTTTATAGACGTTCGAACTTTGCTTCTTCTTCTCGTAAATACGCTGATGTTGATGTAAGAAAGAAAAAGAAGAGGTTAAATACAAAAGTTGTATTACGTTTATTATTGATGCTGTCGTTATTGTTATTGTTTTTTTGATTTTTGTCGATGCTCGTGATCACAGGTACAAGCAACGAAGAAGAAAAAAGAAAGAGCGGGAATTCTTTCAAAAAAAAAATCAACGATTACTAACGTAAGAAACAGTTATATGGCACACACACCACATATTTGAGTGTCCTTTATATTTTTTTTTCGTTCGTTCGTTCGTTCTCCTTTCAGCTTACTATACACGTACTCAAATAAGAAAAAAATGTAAGAAGGAATTGAGTAGGAGGAGACAACAATATCGAAGACAATATGTGCTATCTGAAATTCAAGAAGAGAGCAGCCAAATGCCTAAATAGAACGTAACAAACACGAATTGTCAGTTGGTCTTATGCAATAAACAATTTTATTGTAAAACAACAGTGGCAGCAACAGCAACAGCAGCTGAAAAAGCAAAGAGAAAGAATTTCATATGTAACAGCCACATTCCTTTATATATACATATAAACATCAGTTGCTATCATTCGAGTTTTCTTTTTTTCTTGTTTTGCAATTTATTCTTATATTACAAGATGAGAAAACAATGTAATTATTTATATAAATGTAATATTTATTAACGAGACCAGAAAATATAATTATGAATCGATTATAAATAAGTATTAATTTGAAATTTGAGATAAATTAATCTAATCTATATTTTATATATATCAAAAAAAATAACAAAAAAAAAAAGAAAGAAAACGAAAGAACAATTTAATTTTAAATTACTTTGTACAATATGTGTACACAAAATAATGTCTACAAATAAGCGTGAATTTTTGTGTATATAATAAAAATTTAAATGGTTTCTCTCTGTATTGTTTTTATTTCATTTGTAAAAGAAACTATATAGTCATCATGTAACATTCTTTAAAACTTCGTCTATATCAATAATCATTCAATACTAACAGGAATAATTAAAGAAAGGCGTTATACGTGGTTTCTTTTCAAAAAAAGAAAATGAATGAAAAGAAATGTTGACGTAAAAGTTTAAATAAAGCAATGCATATTATAACACCCATCATTTTTCTTTCGTATATGTGAATATATATAACGGAAGATTATGACCTTGTTTATCGGTATATCTTTACATACTTCACATTACTTCTAGCTGTGCATTCGTTTACCCATTCAAATGCTCTAATCTCCCTGCATATTCAAACCAAAAAAAAAAAACGAAGAAAAAAAAACAAGCTGTTGCCAGCTCGTAACACATTTTCATATTCGTTGTTAATAATACCTTGAAAAAAATCGGTATGATTCTTCTTTATACCTTCGATATATTGACATATGATCAAGTATTTTATAAAAAAATGTTAAAAAAAAACGAAAGAAAACACTTATTATATGATTCAAAGTAGTTCTTTTACACCATAAAATAATAAACTTCTAATCGTTTCAAAAAAAAAAACAAAAATAAAAGAACTCTTGAATATAATATATATATATATTTACATAGAATTTATAATCGAAACCAAAAACTATCATTATCTTCATCATCATCATCAATTTTATTTAATGAATATAAATTTCGTTGAGTTTTGGACCATTTACGAAGATCATGTGAATTGCCACCTAAATCAGGATTAGTTTTTGAATAAAGATCTAATTCTTTCATAAAATTAAATGATTCTTTAAAAGCATTTTTCTTAATTTTGGATGCATATTTTAATGCTTTACATAGATTTTCATCTTTTTTATCAGATTTTTCATTTAAATTAATATAAATTTTATCCATCACTGCTGACCAAGTACAATAAATAGTCTAAATATAATCATGACTTTTTTTTTTTTTTTCATTTTCATAATTTATTCAAACATACTTGAAGTACATTTGTATATGCACTTCGTGGATCGCCAATTGACAAAAGTATATGACCAAGAATTAATGCTTGTTTAATAACTTGTTTAAAATTTGGTAATTGTTGTGAAATTTTATTTAATTTTTTCATATCATCATCATTCAATTCTTCATTATTAAACATAGATTTTGGTAATAAACCACGAAGAATTGTTACATAACAAGCACCAATAACACGTAGAATTTCATCAATACGATTTCCATCATCAATACCAATAAAATAATGAGAACTATTAAGTACAATAGTTAATGCTTCAAGACGTCGAAAAGCAAATATATAATGAGAAAAATTCATTTGTTTTTTATGCTTAAGAAATATTCCTTTCGCTATATCAATAAGACAATTTTCGATAACTTCTAATTCACCATAACAAACAAAATCATTATGAATATACATCTAAAGAAAATATAGAAGAATTTATATTTAAAAGAAATTAATAAAAAAAAAAACAAAAGAAACCATACATCATATACATCTGGATCAACATGTTGAAGAACTTTTAAATATTTACGACTCCAAAAACGTGCTGTTCTTGAAATCATATTAGGTTCTGTATTTTCATATAGAATATATTGTTTATTAGTTGGATGAATTGTACCATCATTATTTTGAATAATTGATTCAATTGGCCATGGTCCTTTGTCTTCGTCGTCATCATCATCATCATCGGATAAAGGTTCGAAATGTTGAATATTTTTTGTATCAATAAGTTTAACTTTTTTTTTTGGATTTGGTTCGTTTATATTAATTAATGATGAAGATTGTTCGGGTTCATTTTCTTTATTTTCGATATCACGATAACGTTTTGACATTTTTCTTTTTATTTAATTAAAAAACAATAAATATACAGAAAGTTTATATGTAGATAAAAAAAAAACAAATACGGTTGAACTAACTATTTAAGAAAACAAAGAACATAATGGCTGTGGTGATCAGTGGATATATATATATAGATTTATACGGTAGATGGCATAAGACGAATAGTGAATATTTATTCGATATATGTACATAATTCAAGATTACTATAATGATTTGATAATACTAGTAATAGAAGACGATAATCTTCAAAATCTATCATAACATTTGATCAGATGATTTCATAATAATAAAATGAGATTAATTTATAAAAGAGACAATTTTTATTCTTAACTAAACATAGTATCAAATATACAATATAATATTTATTGAAGTAATTTAATATCTTTTTTTTTGAAATTCTAACAAATATAGAGCTTATTAATACAATAGAGTGTTTTTTTAATATCAATAGCTTAGCAAGATTAAGATTGTATATACACTTTTTTTTATAAGAAATTTTGTAATAAATTCTAAAAATAGAAAGTATTTCAAACTGAAGTACATTTTCAAATACTCATAAAGCTGACGTAGATGACAGATGTTTTTTATTTTACGAGTAAATATTACTTGAGTTCACTGATAAGGGTACTCGCTGTCTTTTCTTTTTATTATTATTATTATTTCTCATTCTCGAATAGAGTACAATCGGTCCACATGAAATTTTTACCCTGGATAAAGCACTTCAAATAAGGAGACATGTGTTCCATGAAAACGCAATCGATCAAACCTTTCCCCACATGTTAAATTGTTTTTTTGATTGAGATAATATTCATTTGATATGAGTAATAGAAAAGTCTAGAATGATTTGATTTTCCGAGCCTTTGTTCTAGACTACAAATTCCTTCTAGGAAATATCTGGATAGCAAAGATTAAAAATCGTTCCACTTTACTTCGGTTTTTTTTGCAGATACTAGACATTGTTTAAGGTGGTTAATTTTTTTTATCGTCTCCTATTCGAATAAAACGATCGAAATACTGATCGTGTCTCCAAAAATATATGTCTCGTTTTTTTTTTGTGAAATCTGCCAAAAATCAATAGTTCAATTTGATCGAACGTACTATTATATATCAGAACTTTTTCTCTAACTAAAGTGATTGAAAACTATCTGTGTTAGAAGTTCATGGCCTATGCCAGTCAGCATCTTTGAAATGAGAAGAATAATCGTATAGCGCGAGTTTTTCGAGAAAAAAATATTAACTAGCAACGAGAAGTTCTCATTTATATGGCATTTGATAGAAGACACTTCGAAGTATATTAACAAATTTTTGAAAAAGCTCAAAATCGCTTTTGAGAGATAATCTAAAATATCTTCAAAAGAAAAGTTTTCGCTTAATAGGATGAAGTTTGATAAGCATTGTAATATAACCAGGTGATATCCCGTAAAAAAATCTTGTTTCAAATTATTTCAGATCAATCGGTTGTATTCTCTTCGAGAATGATTAAAAATGAGTGAAATATTCTTATCTGTCTGATCTTTGACATAATAAGATTTGATATATTTTCTATCATTTTGAATATGCAATTGTTATTTCTTTTTTAAGAAAGAAAAATTGTAGTGCAAAAAATACAAATAATAAAATCCATATCTATCTTCATTGATGTGACCATGTGAATAGTAAGCAACAAAAAAAACAAAAAAAACAAAAAAATAGAAAAATCAATTTTTTTTGTCTTAAATGGCAGCTAAAGCAAGTTTAAGTTGACGATTAATATGTCTTGATAAACTTTGTGAATTATGTCGAACTTTTTCTGCTCGATTATAAGCTTCATTTAATTCGATTATATCAAGATAATTTGAAGTCTAAATAAATAATTAACAAATTTTTATAAATTACATACATATATTTTGTATACATCCTACTGTATCTGAATCACTATCAGTAGATGATATATATTCATCCATACATCGATGCCGATGATTTCTTTTTCTTAAATAATAAAAATCATCATATGATAATTACTATATATATATATATAATATTATTCTTACTTATATCCACTTTCATAACCAGGATCATCTTGATAAGATGGAGTTCGTTTTAATGTTGAATTAATATGATGACTAAAAATATTCAAATCAAAATTCGGATTAAACATTTTATAGTTTCATATTTTAAATTGAAAATGAATTACAAACCGATGATGATATGTTGTAATACTTCCACATTGAGCACATTCATATAAATTCGATTGAGAAGGTGAACCACAATAGCTTTTAGTTTGATATTGATTTTTATTTGATTCATATCGACTAAATAGAAATATTGAAAAGAATCTATAGGTTTTTTTTATTTCTACTTTACTAGATAATTCCTGTTTGTGAATCTAAATAAAGATTATTCGATTTATATTGATCAAAATATTTATTTGTATGTGGATGATTGATATAAAGTGAACTTCTATATCTTGGTTGATGTTGTGTTATTGGTATTGTTTGTTGATAATATAAATTTTGTTGAGTATGAATTTTTGGTACAATAACTGAATGTGAATATTTCATTTTATTATTTCCAATTGATGTACTTCGATGAAATGGTATTCCACGTGAATTATAATATATTGGTGTTTTTTGTGGTTTCCCAATATTATAATTATGATTTATTCGTTTATTAAATGAAGATGTTTGTGGAATTGGATCAAATGAACCGGTTACATGTGTTTCAATATCGGATGAATGAGGATCTATTTTTGAAAAAAAAAAAAAAGATAAAAATTTAAAATTTTTTTATTTAAGTAACATAATGACCTTGAAGTTTTCTTCTATTTGATGGTGAGCTATCGAATCTGTTTGTATATTTACTTGCAAAAAAGAAAAAGAAAAAGAAAAAGAAAAATTCTTTTTGTGTCATTTTGTTATTAACATTTATATGTCTGAAATAGAATGTTTACCTATACGGACGTCCAGAACTTGTAAAGTCTGAACTACTTGAATGTGATGATGACATTGATTCTGAAAGAAAAGAAAAAAAGTATTATTTTGTTTTTCTTTCTTTTTTTTCTCTTTTATAATTGATAAACCTTGTCCATCATCGAACGATTGAAAATGACTTTCATCCATTGTACTAGTATATAATTTACTATCATAACTTAATTTAGTTATATTATTTGTTCCAATACCACTATCATAATCATTAGAACGTGTTTTTATTGAATTATTTGTATATCGATTTCTATCCGATGGTATTAATGGATTTGATTGTTTATTATATTGATGATCATTTTTTATTTTCTATATTGAAAATTATTTTTTATAATATAAGTTTTAATGTTTTTTTTTTTTTTTTTACTTTTTGTTCAATTTTTATTTTTCCTTTTGTTTTTGTAGGTTTTTCAACATTTTCATGTTCATTTTTTTTCTTTGTTGTCGTATCTATAACATGTCTATATGGTTGTTCTTCAATTCTATGTTGATGATATTTAACAGATGAAGATGATATATAATCAGGTTCAAATGAAGTTGATTCAATGCTTTTCATGGTTGGTATAGGTGTGATATTACTACTTGGTTGTTGTTCATCATCAGAATCCTTTAATATTGAACAAAAAAAGATTTGTAAGAAACATTCGCAAATGTAGATTACTTTTCTATAATTCTAATATCAAGTGATGATGCAAAGATATAAATGTAGGTTATTATTCCAATCAAAGATAATCTCTTTTTTTTTTTTGAGATTCTAAGTATGCATCATTACCATACAATGGGAAGTCTTCCAATTGATAAATTACTTTTAAGTCAAGACTACGTACGGTAAGTAGTCTCGGCTCAAAAGCAACTTATCAATTGGTAGATTTCCCCCGATAGCAGATAGATCTAGTGTTATTAGTTATGGGAAGCAAGAATAACTGGTCAATTCTAATGAAGGAATCTAACAAATTGTTAAGTTCATAAGCTTTCTCTATAGAGTTATGACAGATTTTTGCTATCGGAAGGAGTATCAGTAAGAAATTTTATCTAGAAAAATCGTCAGTATTTCAATAAAAATGAATATTTCCTTATTGAGATAATCAACATGCAGAGAAATCGGAAGTTTCTGAACATTGATTATCTCATTGAGGAGATTCTTTAGTAGGTATATTACAATTGAATTCTAATAGAATTTCAGTTTTTTTCGAAAGGAAGAAGATAAGTTCGTGTATGATAAGTAAGAATTAATTTTTCTAGAAGATATTTAAGAAAGTATAGAGATAAGAGCCGAACTCTTCTAAATACTCTCTATTCTCCGCATAGATCTTATATACTTCATCCATGATACACATCAACTATATCACAAATCTTAAAGAATAATATCTAAATTGGTGCATAACTTCACATATCTACTCATCTGCAAGAAAGGATCAGCTATTCAAATTCTTAGGAGCATCATAAGATCTATAGGGTGTGTAAAAATATTTTTTCAGAGAAGTAAAGCTATGATTTCAAATAGCATGCATAACAAATTTTACATTGAAAATGGAATTTATCGATGGTAAATAGTAAAAGGTATGGCAACTTTATAGTGTCGAATTGAAGAAGTTTCTAGAATTTTACACCATTGAAAAATTACTTTCATATGATAGTTCAAACTAGATCCTATTTAAAATAGAGAATCACACAATACTCGACACCTAACCCGAAAATATTTGAATAATAACCAAAAAAATAAAACTGAAACAAACCATTATCCTAGACGGAACACAATCATTACGATGAAGAAACTTTGAAAAAACATATTTTAAATGTTTTGAGTAACATGGAAACAAACATTAATACATTTGAAACTATTTCATTTTTTGTATCTGTTTTATCTTCGTGTTGTAAAGAAACCTAATCGGTCATATTCATTAAATCATAAGAGATAAATAGTACTGTGTAATATTCATCATTTTAAATGAACTCTGGTTTGAACTATCATATGAAAGTAATTTTTTAATGTCAATATAGCGTAATATTGTAGAAATCTTTCACTATTTAGCATCAATAAATCACATTTTCGACGTGAAATTTGTTATGAATGCTATTTGAAATCATAGCGTTACTTCCCTGGAAAAATATTTTTAAACATTCTATACTAAGTTTCAGATAGAAATCTTTTGTTTAAATTTTCACTCAGTATTTAATCCTATGAAAAAAACCAGTCATCAAATTCTCTTTACTCTGTAGAGAAGATTAAATCTTTTTAAAGCTATTCTTAGAAGTCTTTTTTATATTCTCAAAAATGATGAATCATATAATCAATTTAGATTCAGCTCTTATTCATATAATATAATAAAAAGTACTTAGGACATATCAAAAGTTCTGATCACAGCGTTTAAAGGATCATTTCAGATAAGAGGATCTATTGAAAAATGAAAAACCAAATATTCGATGTTGTAGAGGCGCGTCGAATGGTATATAGCAAATCCTGTTTTCATAAGACTTTAAAAGAATTAGAGTCGATTTACTGATATATGACTACACATCCACACCCAAGCATGATAAGTTTCTGAATATTGTAGTCCTTAGTATTTGTAAAATATTTTTTCTCACATATGATTTTGTAGAGTTTTTCACGGGCTACAACCTCTTATATATAGCATTTCCGAGCATCTTGTCAGTCGTCTATCAGTAAATTGACTCCAGATCCTTCAAAGTCCTATGAAAACAAGATTTACTATTTACCATTCGACGAGCCTCAAAAATTTCTACAACATGGTATATTTGGTTTTTCATTTTTCAATAGATTCCCGTGTCCGAAAAGATTCTTTAAACGTCATGACCAAAATTTTTAGTATGTTCTACAATAATATTTCCTATCCTCAATTTTATTCAGTGATAATGAAATTGATCATAGTTTCTAACTATTGAAAGTAATCACTCTAAAAAAAACAATCTACACCGATAACATTTAGATTTAAATCTTGTTTTATGTTCAAAAATTTCTTTTTCTTTCGAACGTACTCCGGATACATAAACATATGGTTTTTGTTTATTTGTTGTTGATGTTGGATGATGATCGAATAAACTTGATTGTGATGAATCATGAGAACTAATACATATATAAATGAATAGTAATAATCAAAAAAAAAAAAGAAAATTTATCTACGTTGTTTTTATTTGTTTTGAATCAGTTTCTAATTTATTAAATATCATTTTCGTTTGATCATTTTTATTTGTATTTTCTGTATTAACAGCATTTAATAATTTTTGATATTGATCCATAAGATCATTATGATTACATAATGAAGATCGAGCAGATAATTGACTCTAATTATTTCATTGAAATAATAAAACTATTTATTTTAATAAAGTTCATACATACTGAATGACTATCATCATGTATCAAACGAATATTTCGTTCAGCTGATGAACTATCAATTGATTTACCAAGTAAATTTTCTGTTATTCTTTGAACAATTTCTTTTAATAATTGTTTCATTATTTCTAATTCTTCATTTAAATCTCTAAAAATAATATATTTTGTTTTTTTTTGTTTTTTCAAATAAATATTCTAAACACAAAAAAATCAATTGAATTACCCATCAAGATTAATATTATGAAGATCATCATCATCATATTTTTTTCTATCTAATGTTTGAATTAATTTTTCATAATCTTGTTTAATATTATCATAAACTTGTTTTTGTTCAGCTAAACTTAATTGATCTGCATCCATTAATGTAAGAAATGATTTCATCTATTAAAATAAAACGAAAAAAACATTTTTTAATAAATCTCTCTCTCTCTCTCTGGATTGTAAATTTCATTTACTTTATGTCCTAATGTTTTTGTTTGACCAAGTAAATTAAATTTATATGTTTCTGGTGTCTTTAATTCTTCTAAAAAAAAAAAAAACTTATTGTGAAGTAAAGTTTTATCAAAAGCAACTGATTCAATCATACCTGAATAGGCAGGTGATACACCTAGAAATAACAAAAGAAAAAAAATATTACGTAAAATTAAAAAGAAAAAAAAAATAACATTCGTGTATTGAACAAATAGCATGTGTACTTCATCTTAAACAGGTGTAAATACGTGTGTGTGTGTGAAGTACTTAGTCGTATTAAGTATATTCTTACACAATCAATTTATCAAGAGATTTCTATAGTTGTTTGTGTCTAACAGTTAGATGTATATATCATCGAACAAATGTTCGATAAATGGCTTCAATCAAGGATCTTTCTTTTTTTTTTTAATATATAAATCAATTGCAATTTCTTTTTTTTTTGCCCGATCTTGTTTATTTTATTTGTCTATTATGATTAAATATAAATATGTGCAGACAAATGAAAAAAAGAACTTTTTTTTTTTTCATTACAGAATATGTTGGGCATGTCAAGAGTAGTGACTTTGGCAGATAAAAACCTACAAAAAAAGAGTTCGAGAAAGTATTTAAGTTGGTAGTCATGCTTAATTACGCATAATCAATTTATTGAAAATATTTTTCAAATAATCTTTAATTAAAAAATTCAATCATCTCAATTACAAAAATTCAATACAGCGATTAGTTGGAAACTATAAAACTATTCTTTTGTATTGAACTTCATGAGCTATTAATTGGCAAAAAAAACATTTTTTTCCATCGCTCCGTCTTTGAAATATCAGGTCTACAAAATTGATAATTTTGAAAAAAACGGAAAATTTCGAATTTTTCAGAACAAAATCTTCTCTACCTACACTCAATAGAGATCTTTCTGAGTGTCTATGCGATATAAACCGATGAAGAAGCTCATTTGTATTCAGAGGTTATAAAATCGCTCGAAACAAAGTAGATGTTTATTTAACAAGATATGTCAAAGACACATGTATTCTTTTGAGAATCATTTTTATCGATTCATTTCTTTCTTTTTTCTATAACTACAATAACATGGAATTGATATTAATTTTACACACTCAATAATGGGATCAAAGAAAAAAAAATCAAGACTTATAGCAGGTCGTTCAATCTCCTTTCTCTACTACACGGTCATTGAGATGAACACTCGATGGATCAGACTACATCATTAACATATTCAATAGGCTAATACTCTATTTATAAAAATTATTTTATCAGTGGCTCTTCTAAAACGTCTGTGAGGAGTACAAGGGTAGAATTAATTCTATTGATGATTAGTTTTTGCATAGATCATATTTTATCAAAGTGAAATGAATCATTCATTGGTGGAAATCAATCGGATAAAAAGAAATGTTCAAGACTGTTTGATTTCGCAAGGAAAACATCACATATTCATATCGTACAGATATAAACGATGATAACATGATTTTTTTTTCCTGAAAATTTGTAGACAACTGAGTGTTCAAAGTGACCTAACAAATTGACTCGAAAATTATCGGCCGATTACAACTCTAGACTATGAGACATTAAATGAACAGATCAATACTATTGATTAGTTGATCAGATCCTCTACATCGTAATATGAATTAATTCTGTTGTGTTCCAGCACTGACCAAAATTGACGAGGAAATATTCTCAAGTTTCAAATCGCTTTTCGTTTGAAACTATTGCTATTCTTTCTATCTGAGAGAATGGTGAAAAAAGTATATTTTAGTTTGGTTTTTCAATCTGCGCGTATCGAGCTATGAGCATAGAGTTGCTGAGAACCTGAATGATCGAAGTATTTGCTCGTTAGTTTGGGACATTTCTGCCAATATAGATATTCAAAATAATTCCAGCATAATAGATGCAGGTAGTACATCTCGACGAAAAATTATGGAACTTTCAAGTCAGCTAGATCTTGATAAGTAGAGCAAAACTTGTCCTAGAATCAAAATTCTCAGATGCTTCCTTCAGGAAGATATGATGGTTGCAAAGACAAAAAATAACTAGAAGTTTCTTCCCTACAAAATTCTATATTTCATTTTTTCAAGCTTCAACTTTTCTTTTTATGCCAACTAGGATTAAATCAGGATCTAGAACTTAGGAGAAGCAAAATACTGGAAGCATCGTCAAAAAAACGTATTTTTTTTTGTAATACCAATTTTTTAAAAGCTCCCGAAGTTCGTAGGAACAAAACAAAAATGCACATTTCAATTTGATTAGAGTAGTTATTTAAAAAAATTTGAGTCCAGTCGGACGTACCGTGTAAGAGAAAATTTCGTCTTGTTTGTTCAAAAATTGGTTTTGAGAAAAATGCGAAACAATATATAGTTTTTGTTATTTTCGTTATATAATTTGATTTATTCTCGAATTTTTTAATGTTTAAAGACAATTTTTGGATTCTAACATGTACTCAATAGATAGATACTACTTCAGACTATATAATAAATCACAAAAGAGAACGAAGTTATCTTCATTTTGATCTATATTTTTGTTGACTCTATTTAGTATTTATTTTAGATTAGATTTTATCAACGTAATTCAAAAAGGTATTAAGATTTTCATTTTCATTTTATTATTTGTTATGAAAATCGTAGTAAAAGTATATCGAAAATTATTTTGTTAGTAATAAAATATCGAATGAAATTTAATATTTTAATGTATGAAGATAAAAATATTATTTGAATAAACGTTTAAAAATAATTTTTTAGTATTTATCAAAAATTTCGAAAATCAAAACAGAATCTTTCATTTACAAAAACCAAAGCAGAGTGAATAAACAATCCTACTGAATTGAATGCATTAGATTAACTAAACAATCATCTATGGTTTTTTTTCTTCAAACAAAATTAAATCAAGTGAATATTTTTACTTTTTCTAACTGGTGTTGTTGTTGTTGTAGTTGTTGATGTTACTGGTATTATCGATGAATATGGTGAACCAGTTGTTGAATGATATACTCCACTCGATCGTAACGTAGCTATATTAACTGTTGGTTGTTGAATAATATGTACATGATGCTTGAAATGAAGTAATGACATAAAGTTTTTTGTTTTTTTCAAATCAGAAAAATAGAATTCTTACTTCAGAAGTAGTTGATCTCGGTGTATTTTCATTGAAAATTTTCGGTTGAAAACGTAATTGATCAATAGTATTTTCTGCATGTGCATATTTTTCTAATAATTCTTCATAACTTTCATGTAATTTATTTAATAATTCTCCTTTCTTTTTTCCATGTCGTTTTTCTTCTTTTAATTTTAATTTAAGATCATCTTGATTTAAATTATCAGTTTCAGGATCATGATCATCATCATCACTATTTGTTATTCGTTTACGATTATCTTTAAATGATGAATTATTACTATTAGATAATGAATGTGTTTTGGAATTCATTTGTTTTTGATGATCATTTCGAGTTACCAAATGAAAAGCACTGTCCCTACTTGTTGATGAAATTTGTCTAAAAGAAAATTTTATATGATTGTGAAATAATAAACTAATTTAACCGTTTATCTTTTGTTCGACTTGGACTATGTGATATTGATCGTGATGATGAATTAGATGGAACGGGAATTCGTGAAATAGATTTTCGAGTTTCTATATTTGTTATTTTATTTATAGGAAAAGTTGATGTACGTTTCGGTAATGGAATTATATTCGTTTTAGTTCGATTTCGTAATGATGATGATGATTGCATATTATTTGTTTTTGAAATCGAATGAGGTTTTTCAGTATTTTTATTAAGATTATGTGGTGAGAATGTATTAATGTTGCGTGATTGTTGCATCTTATTAACTGTATTCACTGATTTGCTTTGATCTGAAGAAAACTATTGAAAAAGAAACAAAAAAAAAGAGTCATTATACAATAAAAAAACCATGGACTGATTTATAACCTAAAATGTCCTCAATTTTTTCTCTTTTTTTTCTATACTGAAAGAGAATATGATTAATCTGATATGACTTATGCAAAAGTAAAACAAACATTAGATGAGTCAAAAATGATTGTAATGTCACGTATTTTACTCATATCTCAATGCGAAAAGAATCATAAAACTTTGAATTTTTTTCTTAACAGATGCGTCCTTGAATTCTTTATAAAAAAAGGTAATTGATTCCAAATTCTTGTAATAAAAAATGTCTACAATCTTGCTTAATTTTGCATATAACAAGGATAGAGAATATGACCGTAGATTGTAGCGATACTTCTAGAACACAGTGACCTGTTGGAAAAATTCTGAAAGATTGTCTACCTTCCACTCTTGCTAGAGTATCAATTAACAAGCGATAATTTATTTCGTAATTTTATCGGCTGAAAAAATTTGTCGCACTTTTCTACATGCTAATCCACAGCAATAAATGATAAAACATCCAACTTGTTTTTTCAAATGATGCACCGTTAAATTCTGCACAGAATTGCAAATGAAAATAATATTGACCTCTGAAGACTTGCACGATCATGATGTATTTGCCATCAATAATGTTGTAATAAAATTTTTGTTGTTATCGAAATAATAGGACATTGCATTATTAAGCAAACATACACTTTAAGGTTTATAGAACATCAACAGAACAACACAATAGAACTTTTCATTTTCAGTTTTGTAGAGAATTCAACGGTCCATCTTTTTAGCAAAAAAAAATTCTTTCAATTAGATGATTTCATTGTTTAGAGATATGAATAAAATACTTGATGTTGTAATCATTTCGATTCGGTTGATATTAGAAAAATTAAAAATAAAGTGTTAACAGATGCTTTAGTAAAACAAGTGAATAAGTAATTATCTTATGTTAGTTTTTTTTTGCTGAATATTCTAAATAAATCTAATCTCAATGAGAAGATGTTTTTCAAGACTCAACTAGAGATTAACTACATAATGAACTAAAAAGGAAAAGAAATCTAATCAAATGAATAAACTTACAACTAGACGTTGATTAGAATTTACGAATGATGTTTCATCTTGTTCTGTTTCTAATAATGTTGCTTCACCTTGATTAGTTGATTGAATAAATTTATTTTCATTTTTCAATGGTTTCATTATCCAATTATCATCAACTACAATAACTTGTCGAGTTAAAGGAATTGATCGTTGATTATTTTTCATATTTTCTTTTTTAATATTATCATGTTGATGATTACTACTATCATTATGATCTGAAGAATTTTCTAACATATCGTTGTCGTATTTGTATTGTTTAACGTTATTGTCACTTTTTTGAATCGTTTTGTGACGATGAATTTGAGTTACTATATTGTACAAATGAAAATAATGATGGCATATAAGAGTAA